GAGATAGCCAGTTTTGGTGGCCCCGATATGGGTCTAAATCACACCTCGACGTGAGGCGAGACATTGCACCTCAACTAGGTGTCAATGGCGCTAAATTGACAAATGCTTTGATTTCACTGGTCGGTAGTTCCGTGTTTTCAGATGAGCATGCAATCTAATATTTTGCCACTCGCGGTAAACGTAAAAGCACTAGGTAATGGGCTGAAATGCTACTTTCATAAACCACCTCATGCTTAACTTAAGTGAGAGCTTGACATTTGCCTAATTTTTCATAATGCCATGAATCCATGAAATAATAGCTACGAATTGAAATCAGTGGACTTGCCTAAAGGGGAGCAATTTTATTAAAAATGATGACACGACAATATCTTGAGGGTTCACTCATTGCCCACTGAATGGCGTTGAGACAATGTCGAGTCAATTTGTGCATTTTCTGGCCAGTTCAAACTCGTTTTACTTGATGCGCGCATTGTTTCACTGTTGTTTCACTGTGGCACGTCGAGATAGCCAGTTTCGGAGGCCCCGATATGAGTTGACATCACAACTCGGCGTGTGGCGAGGCTTATAACACCTGGATTAGACGTTAGTGGCGCTAAATCGACAGTGGCTTGGATTTCGCAGGTTGGTAGTTGAGAGTTTTGCGAGTTGACGTTTCATTATTTGGTTGTCGATCTGTGCGTCGGTTGGGTGCTCGTAACACACTGCCGTCCGAAACGCTCTGTTCATTTCCCGAGATGAGGACTCATACTTCTCATTCCATAATCACTTCCCAGACAAAGAAATCACAATCGCCGGCAGCAGCAGCAGCGGCAGCATCATTTGCCGCTGGCTCCAGACTGCCTCTCGACGCCGCAGTCCCCACCGGGATGAAAGGTATGCGCAGCAAGCGAAAACGTCGAAGGCACTCTTCGACCACTCAAGTGATTACAAGCAACCGCATGATATCGGCTGCCTTTACCGATCAACATCAGGCTGGGGAGGCACCCGATCTCAAAAGACCGGTTCGTCAGCATTTATTTACCATATATTGCATGCTCTCTGGTTCCACCACAGTTTATCCTTTCCTCTATTTCTCTACACCGCTAAGTTGCATTGGTGTTTATCAAATCAGAACTTGACTGTTCATAAACTGGTGTCGGTCAATGCATTCTCGCGAGGTATTGTAATTTGGCACCACAAAATCGATAATTCAATTTCTCATTCTATAAACTGCCTGCATTTCCACTGTCAATGATTTTAGTGATTCTTGTTTATACTTTGTTTACTTCTGGCTCAAGATCCACTCAGTGTGATTGCAGCAAGGAGTTACCAGTCATGTTCTAATAACTAGTCCTGGTGAAATTCTTTTTTGCGAAATCACTGCATCGTTGCTATGAGTTAGAGCTGGTTTCATCACTATCTGTTTGAAAATTCTTTCATTTGTCAGCATTAAAAACATTTGTGTAAGACTTGCTATTGAAGCCCACTAAGTTAGGACCATTTTTGTTCTTGATGGTGAGCTTCACAGTTTCAGTTATTCACCTCTCACAAAAGGTGCTACATTTGGTGGGCAACGTCACGATTATCAGCAGCTTTGGTGCATCTGGCAAAGTTATCAAAGTGCCCGATCAAGGTGTGAAGTTTCGGTGAATCCACAAATGCCGAAGCCAATCCTGTGTCTCACTTTGTTC